TTTATCGTTTTTATTACATGTTTATTGTTAACTGGTATTTTATTGTTTCTTTTGCATTTGTATTGTTTTTACTTTGTGTATATTTAAATGTGTTGATTTTATCTCTGTGCAGCACTTTGGAAACTTGTTTTATAAAATGTGCTATATAAATAAAGTGGATTGGATTAGATTGGATGAAAAGTCCTAAGCCAGGAATCTGGGATTTATTATTGTTCTGCAGATCAGCACCTTCTTGTCGTCCCTAGGACCAGTCTGAATCCTCTAGTGAGGAGACAGAGCTTTTTCTGTTATAGGGCCAAAGTTGTGGAACTCTTTACCTTTGCACATTAGAACTGCACAATCACTTGAGCACTTTAAATCCCTGCTTAAGACGCACCTTTTTTCTTTGGCTTTTAATACCAGGTAGAAAAAGACAAGTTCTCTTTTTTTTTTCTTTTTTTATGTGTATATATATTTCTGTATTTTTTCATATGTTTTTACTTTGTATCCATTTATTTTTCTCGCTGTCTGTTTAGCACTTTGGTAAGCCTAGGCTGTTTTAAATGTGCTCTACAAATAAAGATTTGGTTGATTGATTTGATCCGAATCCGAATCAAGCCTCCACCTAGTCCCGAGCGCAGCCATGGATCAACACTCAGCTCAAGAGCAGATTAAATCCATTTCCCTTGTCCCTCCTACCTCTTATAACTCTATTGTTGACACTGGTTGTTTTCTCTCTCTCCTCTGCACGTCTTGGCCCAGTGACCTGGTGCGTTCGCGAAAAGTAAGCGCAGCTTCAAGACCAATCAGAAAGTAAGGGGGAGGGAGCTTGGGTAGTTGTTTTTCAAATCATGTACCTCTTTTTCTTTTTTCTGACAAATAAACTTAAGTTACTTAGAAATAAAACTAAAAAAGTAAACTATTCAGTTTCTTTAAACTGCTTTTGAATTGGACCTTTATGCTGTTTTTCCACAGTAACAGTATTTTGCTTTTCCGCTAGGATTTGGCTTGGGATAAGGGTACTTTTTTCGTACCACCTCGGGTTGGTTCCAACCGTGCCGAAGCTACACCATAACGTGACGTCAGCCGACTGCCTTACACTGATAGGTCAACGAGTGTCGTCACTTAAATTGTCATGTGTATATTTATTTGTTTGAGAATCCCTTCCCACAAGTGAGGAGTTTACCAACAAGCAATAAATGACCACTCGTTCTCTCGCCTGGTCTCAAGAGACATACGTACTTTGGATTTTATAAATTGTTGGTTTTGCACTTTACTTTTGTTTTTAATAAATCTGTCAAGACTTTATTTCATTCATTTGTCTGTACACATGCAAAAAAGGGGTTCAAAAGTAACCATTCCCTACAATATACTTTTTACTTCTATTTACATTACATACATTATATCTATCAGTAAATCCGTATAACCTTGATAAATTTATGAACAAGGATGGAGACATATTTGCTAAATACAAAAAGGTTTTATTTTTGGTCAAAACACAAGGGCAAAATAAATGTTTAGGCATATAATTTTTATCATATATTACTTTTTTACTTCTTCTCACTCCTTTGTCGAGTTGATACTTAGATTTACAATATACATTTTTTTTTAAAATAACTAAGATATGTATTGATCTCGAAAAAAAAATATTTCATTTAATTTCAAAAGACAAAAAGTGATTCATCAGACCAATGTTACTAATTAGGCCCCTCCCATGCTGAGGAGATACTTGGAGGTACCATTTTTAATGGCAAAGCACCCACATTCGGTCGCGCCATGCTGTGCCGTACAATGACTATGGAAAAGCGGCATTAGGCAACCTATATTCTGTGACACTTGTGTTGCATTCATTGTGGGTAGGTTGAGCAAACCAGTATCAGGGAAAAGTCCGTGGTGACCATGGCAAAGAATATAGACGTACTAAGAGACAAAACTTAATAGAAGTCAGCACTGAACGCAACACATCCATCCATTTTCTTACATTTCCGGGTCAGGGTGGTGGCAGTCAGAGCAGCACCTACTGTAATTCACCCCTCACTGATCGTCCTGCAGGTGGTGAATCCACAGGAGCCTTGATCTTTCAGCGGGGGCTTCAGGTAAAGTGGAGTTCAGTGTCTTGCCCAAGGACACAACGTCAGCAGTGGGAGTCATCAATCAATCAATCACTTTATTTATCCCCAAGGGGCAATTAAAAAGCACAGAGAGTTGCAAGTTACATGCTTAAAAGCTCAATAAATAACACATAAATACACTCACATATCCTGTTTACGTTAATGTTTGTCATGTTGTAGGTCTCGTGGTGGGCTCGAATCCACGACATTCGGGCCCAAAGGCCAATGCTCTGCCAACTTAGTCGCTCACAACTGTCATATAATATAGGTTCGAATTCAAAAGTGGTTTAAGGAAAACTTAATTAGTTTTTTATTTTCATTTATTAAACACTTTTGTTTGAGCACAAAGCTGTCAAAGACACTATTTATTTACACGCAAGCAAAATAAACAGGTCTTTGCTTTTGGTGATGCTGTATAGCTCTCAACACTATTATTAAACTCTATTAAATCTTTTTCTCTAATCTAATTTTTTTCTCTTGTCTATTTCTCTTTCTGTGGTCTTTCTCTTTTCTCTTGTCTCTCTCTTGTCTCTCTCTGGTCTCTCGTTCTTGTCTCTCTGTTCTCTCTCTGGTTTCTCTGTTGTCTCTCTCTATTCTCCCACTGATCTCTCGAGTCTTGACTCTGGTCTTTGTATGAAAATGCTAATCTAAACATGTGCAAAAAACACATGCATGTAAAAACAAACTGTTTTAGAGCCTAGAGAGAGCCTTCAAACATCAAATGTGTTTCAAAGTTCTAAAGTTACATACCCCAGCTTTAAAACTACTCCAAAATTTAAACAACTTTTGAGCCCAGCCTCCTTCACCTCAGTCCCCACTCCAGCCCCTGCTCTCCCCTATGTTTTCTCTCACAGTGAGAGCCCAGGCCTGGGTCGGTCTGCGTGTTGGTCTTGGACTTGACCCAGACCTGGACCAAAGGACGAGGGACACCAGAGACTCGCAGGGAAACTAGGTCACAGTGTTCAGTCTGCTCTGCTCTGCTTTGTTCTGGTTCAGAAGAATTCCAACGCCACATTATTGGCAGAGCTGTCAAAACGGCACAGGGTCAGATTGGAGATGTGAGAATTTGGAAAAGCCTTGTCTTGTCAATACTGTATGGATTCAGGATTCAGAGCGGTGCCTGAGTGGATAGCACTCTCAGATCCCGGTCGAAACAGGGCCTTTCTGATTGGAGTTTGCATGTTCTCTCCGTGTCTGCGTAGGTTTCCTCTGGGTACTCCAGTTTCCCCTACCATTAAAAAACATGTGCATGAATGAGTGTGTGTTTGTGAGTGATAATGTGGGACAACGGATGCAAATATGCCCATGGCTACAATCTGGAGTGATATGTTCATGTACTGTCCCAACCAAATAAATATATGTTTCAGTTTATATGCCATTTACAGTAAAACCACATTGGAATAACTGTACAAGACTACCCCAGTGTGCACCAGACAGAGCAGATAGTACACCCCAGAGCTCTTGATAGTATTGTGTTTAAATATGTATACCGTAATAGTTACATTCTGGGAAAGAACTGGTATCTCTGTAGTAATAGTCGAAGCCAGAGCTGTTAAGCTTAGGGCCACAAGTACAATACTTTTAAAGTACATTTATTTATCTTTTTTCTTGTTAAGCATTTTAAGGGTGGGTGAAGGGTCTTGCCTAAGGCCACAACCACAGTTTGGTACTTTACAGCTGCAGCCACTGTGGCACCTGGTGTTACTAGAGGTCTCTCATCACAGTACTAACCAGGCCCTGCCGTGCTCAGCCTCAGAGGTCTGAGGGATCTGGCTTTCAAGGTGGCACCACATAATTGTTAAAAGAGATGTTTTGGAAAGTGATTCTCCCTTGAGGTGGTTTTTACATAAACAACCATAAAAAGTACTATATGGGCGGCAAGAAGGTTCTGGATTCGAATTCTGGTCAGAACAGGGCCTTTCTGAGTGGAGTTTCCATGTTCTCCTCATGTCTGCGTAGGTTTCCTCCAGGTTCTCTGGTTTCCCCTACCGCTAAAAACATGTGCAATTGTTCAGGGTGAGAATGAGTGTGTGTTTGAGTGCGAATGTGGGTCAATGGATGGAAATTAGCCCATGGCTACAATCCGGAGTGATGTGTTCATTAACATGAACTGTCCCAACCAAATAAACAATTAATACATAAATAAATATCTGACATAAAAAACTGCATTGTGATATCTGCACCTATACAGCTAAAAATAAAATAAGAAATAAAAAAATCACTTTGGTAACGCACCATGTGATGCTGTAAACATTTGAGTAAACTGGTCCCTGGTTTCACCCAGGGGTGATGTGTTCTAAAAAATATACCCACAATAAGGGAAATCCTTGAAGTAGCTGCTGTATGTTTTAAGGCTTTAAAATCCCTCACCAGAGAACAGAGAAAAGACAAGAGAGAGAGAGAGAACAGAAGGAAGGATCTTTTCTCTGTTCTCTGGTGAGGGGTTTTAAAGCCTTAAAACATACAGCAGCTACATCAAGGATTTCCTTTATTTTGGGTTTATTTTTTAGTGACAACAGAGAGAGACCAGAGCGAGAGACCAGAGAGAGATCAAACCAGAGAGAGAACAGAGAGACCGAGATACCGTGTTGCACACAAACCACAAAAAGTTTTCGTCTGACCTTAAATGTAACTTGAAGGTTATGGATTTCCATGGCAAGTTTTACATAATTATACATAATATGCTCTTTTTTTAATTAGTGCAATGAGTAGAGCAAATAAATATACTTGGTTTGTCTGCATAGATCACAAGCTTCAGTCCAAAAAAAATTGGAGCAAAGCTAAAAACACAAAGAGAATAATGGAGAACAGTTGTGGCTCCTGTGTTTTTGAATGTGGGCCCTATGCAGCGTGTAACATCAGCAACTACAAAGGACAAATAAGGACTTTGAAACGCTGTTTTGCACTCACCAATCTCGGCGCTGCAGAAGAGCTGTTGTGGATGAGCAGGCTGGCAGCTGCAGCTCTCCACATCCTCTACCAGCACCACCCCCAGGAGCAGCAACACCAGCACCCCCACACTCGCAGTCCTCTGCTGGGACATGGCCACGCGACCTTCGGCCTCTCACTCCGCTCCTCTGCTCCGAGCAACGGATTAACTCTTCCTCAGATCGCAGTGCAAAACCGGACAGCTCTTAAATGTGCAAATGTGTTCATATACTTCTGTGGTGAAGCTGAGTTTTAAGATGGAGGAGAAGAGTTGGGAGCAGCTTGCTTCTTCCCCAGTGGACGCTCACAAAGGACGGATGCCTCACTGCTGTGGTCTTGAATGCTGAGAGGGTCGCACACAGGGAGCCTCTTATGTATTCAACTATTTAAGCACAGCCTCCTCAAAACTCGCCCCAAACAACACCACTCTCGGCTCATTTCTGCCCCCAATTATCACGCTCACGTCCAAAGTGCTGAGCCAGATTCTGCAGGAATAAAATGTACTATTTAACAGCAGCAGAAAATAGTGGAGACCAGACATGTGTGAATGAGAGCTTGTCCAACAGCCTTCACATGGTTGTCTTCCTGTAAATTCCTGGAGAGGCAGCAGAGTATACAGTATACACTGCAAAAAAAAAAAAATAGATTAAGGTACTATCCTTAATTTCAGCAGATAATAGATGATAATTAAATGATCAACCAATGGAATAAGAAAGCTTAGCTTATATCAAGTAAGTGAAACAGGATAGAAAGAAAGAATAAATTGTTATGCCTTATCTTTTCCATTGAAAACGAGAACATTTTGAGTCATTTAATGTTTTATATTGTGAAATATGGTTCCAGTCCCAAACATAGAATGTATACAGATGGATAACTCTAACCCGCTAGCTCAATGGACCCAAATAGGGAAGTGCTCATAGTGAAGTTTCGCTGCAGCTCTTTCTGGCTCCTACTGACGTAAACTCCTAAGTCATAAGCTAACTGACTCCAGTTAGCTTATGTTTAAATCTGCCTATTTTGCGTTTGCCGCATGCACCGAGTCGCCATACCATGGACCTATTATAATAACTGGGTAGGGTATTACTAGCAACGCCCATGTGGGAAATGCCAGTGACACTTGGAGAGGGGTCATAGGGAAGAACGGCCCCGCTGATCTGAACCCGAGTGGTGTTCAGTTGTTTGACTTCTGTGCTAGTCACAGTTTGTCCATCACGAACACCATGTTTGAGCACAAGGGTGTCCACCAGTTCACGTGACACCAGGACACCCTAGGCCGGAGGTTGATGATCGACTTTGTTGTTGTATCATCTGACCTTAGACCTCGTGTCTCGGAGCTGTCAACCGATCACCACCTGGTTGTGAGTTGGATCCGCTGGCAGGGGAGGAAGCCGGTCAGACCTGGCAGGCCCAAGCGTGTAGTGAGGGTCTGCTGGGAACGTCTCGCTGAGCCCCCTGTCAGACGGACTTTCAACTCACACCTCCGGGAGAGCTTCTCCCGGGTCCCGGCGGAGGAGGGGGACATTGAGTCTGAGTGGACCATGTTCTCTTCCTCTATCGCCGATGCGGCAGCTCGTAGCTGTGGTCGCAAGGTCTCTGGTGCTGGTCCCGGCGGCAACCCCCGAATCGCGTGGCGATCGGGGGCGGTGCCGATGGAGTGCCGATGGAGTGGCAGACCAGGGTGGTGGTCCCTCTCTATAAGAAGGGGGACCGGAGGGTGTGTTCCAATTATCGTGGGATCACACTCCTCAGCCTCCCTGGTAAGGTTTACTCCAAGGTACTGGAGAGGAGGCTACGGCCAATGGTCAAATCTCGGATTCAGGTGGAGCAGTGTGGTTTTCGTCCCGGCAGCAGAACACTGCACCAGCTCTATACTCTCCATCGGATACTCGAGGGTTCATGGGAGTTCGCTTAACCTGTCCACTTGTGCTTTGTGGATTTGGAGAAGGCGTTCGACTGTGTTCCCCGGGGTGTTCTTTGGGGGATTCTCCGGGAGTACTGGGTCCGGGCTGTTCGGTCCCTGTATGACCGGAGCCAGAGCTGTGTTCACATTGCTGGTGTAGCAGGCCAGTTTAACCCCCCGCCAGAATATACCCGGGGTTAAAGTAGCCTAGGCCAGTTTACACCCCGGGGTTAAAATAGCCTAGGCCAGAATAGACCCCGGGGTATAAACTGGCCTAGGCTATTTTAACCCCCCCATAGGCCAGATTAACCCCCTGTTTCATTTTACATAATAACAATAAAATACAAGCAAAATTGTATGTATTTATTTATTTCTTACTAAATACATTTAGGAAAAGATATGATTTATGAAATAAACTATTCTATATAAAACTATAACAATCTCCTAATACTCCCGTACTGTACTTTACAGAACCATACAGCGATATGCCCATTTTTAAGGAATCTTTATATTGAATACAAGTATATTTAAATATAAACAATTTTTACAGAAAAAAGGACTAAACTCTGTGCATACATCACAGGTTATTTATTCAAAAACAACAGTTGACGCATCAGCAGTCACACCAAGGAAGCCAGATGTAACTCTTCCATGATCCAATGATACTCTTCAACATAGACACCGTTAATATGCAGTGAACCAGTGAAGCAGTGAAGAAGTGAAGCAGCGGCTGCAGAGTCCGAGACACTGACACGTTTGTCACGTGACCGGTTGTTTTGATACACGCTGCAATGCAGTGTTTTGAAGCAATTTTCTTTGGAAAGAGCGACACAATGCAAGCTCCGGAGCATCGGTGTCATTTGCCCATAATTAATATTTACTCAAAAGTTTTAAAGGTGCTTTCACAACGCCAACACTGGAACGCTGACGCCTCGCGCACCAGACGCACATTCTCTAGTTTTCAGACGCAAGGGTCTTCCAGAAGTCCTGGCCAGCGATGGCGGAAGTAGCGGGCAGGCTTTGATGCAAACGGAGTTAAGCCAGCGGCTTTTTGTGCAAAGTTCTTCTCCAATCATGCAGCTCTGCAGTGTCTCTGTGTCTGAGACCTCCATAGACTTTATAGAACAGCAGTATGTGTTCACGGTGACTTTATATAACAGTAGTATGTGTTCACGGAGGTGCGCCATAAGTTTATTTTATTATCAAACGGTACTTCCGCATCAGCGAACACGCTCGAAGCAGTTGCATAAAGTCACAGGACCATGAAAACTCATATGTTCACAAGCACTATGTCCCCCATTGTCAACCCTGGCTTAGTCCTGGTTTAGCCCTGGTTTATTCCTGGTTTATTCCTGGTTTAATCCTGTTTTTAGTCCTGGTTTAGTCCTAGTTTAGTCCTGGTTTAGTGCTGGTTTAGTGCTGGTTTAGTTCTGATGAAGCTCCCCGTTTTGGCTGTTTACAGAATGTTCAGTCTGCTCGCTCAGACTAATGTCCCCATGACCACTTTGCAGCTCTTTGATTGGTAGCTGCACGAGCGGCCCGAGGAAACGGCCAGTAATATTTACTGTATCTCCTGCGTGCGTTGATTTTCCGCTCCAGCGTCTCTACCGTGCAGTCCATGCGTGCATCCCGAGATGCACATACACGTCACCAATGACTTTGCATTGATAGTCGACGCAGCATGATCCAGTGTGAAAGCCCCATAAAATGAGTTATCGCATGAAACATATGATAAGTAAGTAGATACATGGAGTCATCACCTCACAAACGAAGTGTGAAAAACAATCACTTATTCGGGCTGCAGTAATTAATTAACAAACTACTTCTGAATGATTTTAAATAATTTTGAAGTTTTAAAATGTATTCAATAACCAATATTTTATTATTATTAGATAAAACAAGAGGGGGGTTAATCTGGCCTAAGGGGGGTTAAAACAGCCTAGGCCAGAATAAACCCCGGGGTATATTCTGGCCTAGGCTATTTTAACCCCGGGCGTGTAAACTGGCCAGGGGGTTTAAAACGGCCTGTTACACCGGCAGTAAGTCAGACCTGTTCCTGGTGCATGTTGGCCTCCGCCAGGGCTGCCCTTTGTCACCGGTTCTGTTCACTGTATTCATGGACAGAATTTCTAGGCGCAGCCAGGGGCCGGAGGGGGTCCGGTTCGGGGACCACAGGGGAAGACCCAGGACAAGCTGGAGGGACTACAGTATGTCTCTCAGCCTGGGAACGCCTTGGGGCCCCCCGGATGAGCTGGAGGAAGTGTGTGTGGATAGGAAAGTCTGGGCGTCTCTGCTTAGACTGCTGCCCCCGCGACCCGGCAACTGTCAGGAAGACAGTGGAAGAAAACGGATGGACGGACGGACGGACGGACGGTATTACTAGCATATAGCTGAAGCACCCACGGGCTCAGGGACATCTCACAGTTCTGCAGACTCAATTAATTTGCACTACCCAGACATTTTCCCCAAAATAAACTTAAACAGCTCGATCTCAAGGAACCTACAGCTTTCATAATGGTCGGATTTTGTGGGGATTTTAGTATAATTCTGAATTATTTTCCATCGGCAAATTGTGACATTGAGCGTCACATTACGCTTTCCTGCTGCGCCTGTTGTGACGTGAATTTTTGCACACATCTCTACTTGCCTATCACATATTTTCGCATTCTACTCTCCCTTGCTTTTGTTACACTTTTCATGTAAGCACTCGGGCCGTGGTAAAGGTGCGCAGGGGAGATGGTTGGCGCACAGTATAGTCTAGTGCAAACAGGAAGAGAAACGGGAAACTTTATGAGCATTGTACTACACCGCATTTGGGTTGGACGGTTGGAAAAATAAACCCTTCTGACCGCGGGCCATCTTCACACCCTTGTGGCGATGATCTGGGCCACTTGGCCTAGTTTGTTTGTGAAAACTCATGTGACCATGCCCTTAGGTTGTGTTTGTGACTTCAAGTCTATCTTAACTTATCTTGTCTTATGTGGCTCTGGTTCCAGAAAGGACCCCTTCCCCTCCAGACAAATGCTTATACCAGAGGGGGCGGGTCCCGGCTCACAAGTGGCCGAAATGACATGCGCTGAAATGCTTGCAATACCACCCCGGGCCGATGGGGGTGGACCCGGAATAAGAATTAGCCAATCTCGAAAACACCAGGATGGTCCAAAAGTTGGCTCTTGGCCCAAAGCTCCGTTCCACATGTGTGTCAATGCTGAGGGGAGTGAATTTTTTTGGACCAGTCTAGTTTACTCGCTGTGAATTTTTGAAGTCCCTCGTTTAAATGAATGGGGCTCGTGCCGGCTGATGCATGCGCAGATGCGTTTTTTCACGTTTTTGAACGGCGGAGATAGGCGTGACTACGTCCGTTAATACAGTCTATGGCATATACCCACTTCAGGCCATATAAGAAAATAAAATGAAGAATTAAAATAAAAGTGCCAGTGTCAGAGCCAAAAGAGTGATTAGTTGCCTGGGGGCAACAGTATGCCATAGAGGATTAAGGCCAGCACTGTGGTGATGTCACACTCAATCAGTCCGTATACACACTCTTTGGTCCCAATTTGTTTTTGGATCCTTTTTATCTTTCTGGGAGTCCTCCACCATCTTGTCGTTGTATGTTATATGATACAATTACATAAACTCTTTCCTCATATTTTACAGATTACAACGCCAAGCTTTCCTGTGGTGGTGAAGATCGGACACGCCCACTCTGGAATGGGAAAGGTATGGACAGTCTTTATCTCTATCAATCTGGACAGACTCAGAAAACGGTTGTATGGCACAATGCAATAGAGTACATTGGTTTCTGAGCCAATCCAAATGTCCACTGTTAACATCAGGACTACCAGAATTCTGAAACAACTAGAACTCCCAGGGCTGTCATTTTGTTGCACTTCATTACTATTGTTAGTAATGAAGTAGATTCAGCAAGAGTTTTGTCCCTTCAGCCATAGCTGCTCTTAATAGCCTGTATTGTTGTCCATGTCCCTGTATTGCACGTGTATTGTTGTGTATTGTATTGTTGTAATTACTGTTCTGAGTTAATAATATATTAGACATGTCGACATTTGACTTAACAAACAGGGTTTCAATTAGTTTGAATACAAAAAATACAGTAATAACAAACACATACACTGCAAAAAATCCCTTGCTAGAAACAAGAAAAAAACCCACAAAAGACGACAATTTTGTTTATTTAGGCACAAAAATCTACCAATGGGGTAAGACTTTTTTCCTTGTCTAGAATTCTTGTTTTAAGATGTTTTTCTTAATGTATAATGGGAAAAAAACAAGAATATATTTCATGATTTAAACAATTTTCTCCCAATAAATAGGTCAGATAAAAGCCAAATGTTCTTATTATTGGACATTTTTAGGAAATAATGCTTTCATAAAAGTTTGATTAAGGATAAATTTGCTTGTTTTATGCTCTTTTTAGCAGCCTTTTTCTATTCTTAGACTGGTTTTAAGCAAAATTGGCTTAATAAGCAAAATAATATAATCAATCAAACAAATCAATCAAATTTTATTTATAAAGCGCTTTTCATACAAAAGATGCAACACAAAGTGCTTTACAGTTTAGTTAAAAACAATCCCGCCGGCCCATGACCCCTCCCCCCGACCACCCAACAGACCCACCCCAAACCACATACGCAGAAAAACACACACAGACAAACTCATGCCTTCTCACACACCCACACACACACTCTCATATACACTCTCACACACACACATACACACGCTCTCATGAACACTCTCACACACACACACACACGCTCTCATGAACACTCACACACACACACACACACACACACGCACCAGTAAAACAGTAAAACAATAATGAGAGACTTGGCAGGGTTCAGATGCAACCAGCTGAAAAAGCGCCATCCAAGGAGCCGTCTGCACCAGGAGCAGAGAGCTGCCTGTAGCCACAGGGGACAACACAGTACACAGAGGAGACACAAAGCCGAGGCCCCAGGCCCCCGCCAGGTCCAAGAGCCAGACCCCCGCAGGCACACCGACCACTGCTCCCAGTGCAGAGGGCTCATCCAGAGGAAACACTGGGTATACTAAAAACAATACAATAAAAAAAGTAAAACACTAAAATGTGAGACTAAAAGGAACTATCACATAATGCATGAATAATATAATAATAATAAAATAAATAATACAAGATAAATAGAATTTATAAAATGGAATAATAAATACTAATCAAAAGCTAATCTAAAAAGGTGGGTCTTGAGCCTGCTTTTAAAAATATGAATGTTCTCTGCGGCCCTGAGCTCCTCCGGCAGACTGTTCCAGAGACGGGGCCGTAATGCTGGAAAGAGGCCTCACCGTGAGTGTGTGTCCTGACTTTGGGAATGGTTAGGAGTCTGCTGCTGGAGGAGCGCAGGGGCCGGGAAGGTTCATAGGATAAAAGCAGTTCTGAAAGATAAGAAGGCCCAAGATCATTAAGACATTTAAAAACCATTAAAAGAACCTTAAAATCGATCCTGAAACACACAGGGAGCCAATGCAGCAATTTTAAAACCGGTGTAATGTGGTCCCGCCCCCTGGTCTTAGTCAGGACACGTGCTGCAGAGTTTTGAAGTAATTGTAAACCTGAAATGTTCCTTTTGGCAAGACCAGAGAACAGGGCATTACAGTTGTCAATGCGACTGGTGATAAAAGCATGCATCAGCATCTCCGTGTTGCCCCGAGATAGAATGGGGCGGACTCTGGCGATGTTCTTTAAATGATAAAAACCTATTTTTGTGATATTCTTGATGTGAGGAATAAAGGTCAGCTCAGAGTCAAAAAATTACGCCCAGGTTTTTCACTTGTGATGATGGATTAAACAAGTGTGATGGGAGTTTTGGTAAAAGTTTCTCTCTCCTTGGGCTCAGGACCGATGACTAAAACCTCAGTTTTGTCCTGGTTAAGCTGGAGAAAGTTTTCTGCCATCCAGGATTTCAGTTCTAAAATGCAGTTAAAAAGAGCATCCATTGGCCTGGTGTCATCAGGAGACATTTAGATGTACAGCTGTGTATCATCTGCATAACTGTGGAAGTTAATTCCATATCTCCTGATGACACCGCCAAGACGGAGCATGTACAGGTTAAAAAGGACTGGACCTAAAATGGAACCCTGGGGCACACCACATGTGATTTTATGGACCTGAGAGGAGCAGGTATCCAAACTTACCATGAAGGATCTGTCTCTTAAATAGGAGGTGAACCACTTGTTGGACAGCACCAGAGAGGCCAATGTGTTTTAGGGGGCTTTCACACCTGTTTGTCCACTAAAGTGGTTCGATTGGGCCCTAAAGTTGTTACAATGTTGCAGTTCTCAACTACAATTTAGTTTTTTTTTTGCAATTGAACCAACCAGTGTGGATGTTTGTGAACAGCGCCAGCCATGTGGTGGTGCTGTTCAGAAAATACTGTGTATTGGATGACGTAGGTTAAAGCTGATTGGCGCAGGATGTGAAGAGGGAAAAATTCCGGAAGAAAACAAACCGGTCAAATCCTCAACTATGAACCGTGCTACTCTGCTCGCGTTTGTGACTGTTTTTTATCATCGTTTCATGGTCCAGCAAGCACAAATACTGCAGTTGTTCCAACATGTATCGAGGATTCAGCGCGAGAACACTTTGCGGCTGTTATTGGAGCAGAGAAGACGTGTTGCAAAACACTATCTCCGAAAAAGGGCCAAACTGCAAAACATGAACCAACTTCTTTTTCAGTGGCATTTTCGAAATTCTCTCCGGTAAGATTTTGTTCCTCTCATCATGTAGGATTAAGGGAAATGTTGGTTTATTTGCCACGCGCGAAACAAAGGTGAAGGGAAATTGACGGGGGATAAACGGAGAATCATCAGTTATTCACTATTGATTATTGTTGCAATACCAAATACTATTTTATTATATATTTTTAAAAAAAATGTTCTAGTGTCACTAAACCATTACAATACCTGCATGTACATGCTATGAGTAGAAAAATAATTTTTGTATATGCTTTCATTGGAGTGTGTGGACCTACAAAAGAGCTGGCGACTGGTGGCAGTTTGTGAATCACAGCTGGACAGATGTTGAGTGGAGTGCAAACTTCAGAAAGCGAAGAACTACTTTCAACACGCTATGCAATATGCTTCGCCCCTGGTTGACCCGTCTAAACAACAAATAAAGGCAGGCTGTGCCAGTTGAACTTAGAGTTGGAATCTGTATTTGGAGGCTAGCCACCAACCTTGAAAATAGACCTATTTCACATCTGTTTGGTGTGGGACTTTCCACTTGTTGCCTCATCACTCAAGAGGTGGTAACTGCTATTAACGTCGTCCTGAAACCAAAGTACATTCACCATCCCACTGCAGCAGAGATGAGAACTATTGAGTTTTAGAGACAAATGGCGTTTCCCTCAAGTGGTGGGTGCCATTGATGGTACACACATTAAAATACGTGCACCATCAGTGCTCTGCCTCTTACTACAACCGAAAAGGGGACTACTGTATCATTCTTCAGGCTGTAGTAGATCATCGCATGAGATTTTGGGACATAAACGTGGGTTGTGCAGGCAAAATACACGATGCGCGGGTTATTGAGGTTAATGGCATTTTATTCCCGGACTGGACGGAAACATTTGAAGGCGTAGATGTGCCTCTGGTTCTGCTGGGGGACTCCGCATATCCTCTCCTCCCATGGCTCATGAAACCGTATCCAGAGGGAGCAGGGGTTACAGCTGACCAGATCAACTTCAACTTCAAGCTGAGTCAGTCTCGCATGACAGTTGAGCGTGCGTTTGAGCGCCTTAAAGGACGATGCCGTTGCCTGTTGAAGACATGTGATGCCCATATTACATTTGTGAGTCAAATTGTTTCGGCATGTTGTGTTTTGCACAACTTTGTGGAAATGCATAATGAGAATTATTTGAATGGAGACACTGAAGCTGATGACGATGTTGAAGCTGTTCCAGAGGGGAGAGGTGGTGATTATCAACAACAATTAGATATCCGCAACGCCCTGTGTAGATATTTTTCAACTTTGTAAATACGTTTTTGTTAGTATGTCTATTAGCATGAATGTTCTCATGTTAACCTTAAAAAGACTTCAGTTTTGCAGAGTCAGTTACATTTTTGTTGCAGATGATTCAAAATTGTTACGTTGACTTTTGTGATTGTTTGGTCAATGATTTTTTGGTCTCTGCCTCCCTCATTTCCTCCAAAACCTTGTTGCTTTCTGCCATATGTTTGGCGAAGTCGTCATCCTGTCCCCTGGCCTTTGCTTTTCTTTTTCTTGATTTGGCCCCAGGTACAGTGCCTTGCGAAAGTATTTCGGCCCCCTTGAACCTTTCAACATTTCGCCATATTTCAGGCTTCAAACATAAAGATATAAAATTTTATTTTTTTGTCATGAATCAACAACAAGTGGGACACAATCGTGAAGTGGAATGAAATTTGTTGGATTATTTAAACTTTTTTAACAAATAAAAAACTGAAAAGTGGGGCGTGCAATATTATTCGGCCCCTTTACTTTCAGTGCAGCAAACTCACTCCAGAAGTTCAGTGAGGATCTTTGAATGATCCAATGTTGTCCTAAACGACTGATGAAGATAAATAGAATGCACCTGTGTGTAATCAAGTCTCCGTATATATGCACCTGCTCTTTGATAGTCTCAGGGTTCTGTTTAAAGCGCAGAGAGAACCATGAAGACAAAGGAACACACCAGGCAGGTCCGAGATACTGT